TCGGGTCGGGCTCCGGTCAGGCTCAGGTCAGGCTCGGGTCACGACTGATATTTTGGGCCTGATCAAAGCTCTAGACATGAGTAAGAATTTTACCTCTCCTATTGCTCCCGACTGTGTTCATACAGTGCAAAGAGTTAATAAATAATTACAAACAGAGTGCATTAGAGATAAAAAGGATACACCCATTGCTTGATGAGAGGGCCTATGTCTTTGCCAGAGACATTGGAGATGGATTTGAGGAAGGCGTGAGTAGACAGAAGCATCTGACTCCACATCTGACTCTGGTACTTCTGGGATGAGGCTGTGCTGGCCAGGCTCAGAAGCTTGTTGAATACCTATAGCAGACAGTAGAAAACAAAGAATTCAAATGAATGAAGGAAACTCTTATGGATTTTGCCAATTACAGAGGCAGAAGACAAACAAACAAAATGCCAGTTAACCTGCAGCATGAACTCCATGCTGATCCTGTTTTCTATCAGCCTCATCACCAGGTGGGCCTTACACTGGAACATCTTGTAGTACTCCCAGGACAGTGTGTGGGGGTGCTTGATGGAGAAGTGAAGGTGGGGAGTTGGGCTAGAGAGAAAAACGTTCAGTCAGTGTGTGTCATGCTGTTATGATCCAGAATATGACTGGTTATGTACACTACGAATGTGAAATTGAAATTGAATGTATTACTTGTCCTTCTCTTTGCCCCCAATAAAGGTCGGATGCAACAGTACCCCTCCCATCTTTAGTTCATATTCCACAATCTTGTCCAACTCCTGGAATCAACAGAATAACATGTATGAACATTTATGAAAGCTCAGGAAAAATGTAATCATTTAAATTAAAAAGTTTTATATACATTTCATTTTGCATCTCATGCACATCCTTTGTTGGGATGCAAATAGCAATTGTTTTCATTATCGATTATTCTGCTGATTATTTTTTCAAACAATCGACTTATTTAGTCTATGAAATGTAGGGCTGCAGCTAACAATAACTTTTATTACTGCGATACGATCGGTATCACAATTCAGGGGTTACAATCCAAAATATCCATTGCGATATTCTTTTAAGATATCATTTGAGGAATATTGTCATAGTATAAAGAACATGTGCATAAAATCTACACAAAGTACAAGTACAGAATAGTTGAGTTGAGAACAGTGAGATCTGCATTTTAATTTATCACAGTCCCTGTAACATCCAACATCACAGCCCTCAGCTTGCATTCACAACACTGCTATCTCGAGGTAGGGGGTTTAATCACATAAATGTGGTGAGAATCGATACCAAACACAAAACAAGATACAATACAGTATTTTTCAATATTTTTAACACATGGGAGAGAGAGTGAGTAGAAGCTGATCTGGCATTTTTGACCATTATTACTTGAAAAATGCCTGAAATGAATTATTGATTACCAACATTGCTGCCAATTATTTTTCTGTCAATAAACTCATCTATTAAGCAACTGACTGTTCCAGCTTTAATCCTTTGTAGGAAAACTGAGACCACTCCAGTCATTGCTGGGCTAGCTCACAGTTTTCCCTTAGCCTTCATTAAAGACATTTTCCTGGGGAAAACTTGCATGAGGAAATTTTCTGAAGAGAAGGGTTTCCTGCTGTGACCACCCCAGCCTGAAATAAAGAGCATAACAATGTCCTCTGATGTCCTTACATCCTAGGACATTATTAAGATAAGATAAGATATTCCTTTATTTGTCCCACAATGGGGACATTTCGGTGTTGCAGCAGCAAAGTGGATAG